TACTTCATCAATGAAGCAATAAGAGTAGCAGCGTTGATTTGACGGTCGGCCAGTTGTGGACGGGGCGTCTGGGTCGGCATATTGCAGCTTGATCAGGCGCTTGTAATGGTACCTTCGTTTGAAAAGGCGCCTTGCAGCGCCTGCTTATGGGCTCCGAATTCCGTCCTGCAAGGTGTGTTCATCCTACACGCTTTGTGGATTTGTCGTGCCTTGCCTTTGGAGCAGGACCCTTAGGATAAGGGAGAAGGGCGTGAAAAAAGGGACCGGTATTACATCATCATAATTTTAAGTTGCTTCTATAGGGCAGTCTGCGTAGCTCTAGCAACCTGCGTAATCCTTAACATTTTTCTTGTTAAATTATCACAGAGTGTGAAGCTGGTCTGATAATTTTTGCGTTTAGACATCGTCACAGGACCCGCTGTATCGTCGATACGAATTCAAATCGACAATGACGCGAGTGTCATTAGTCGACCGGCAAATATGGGACTGTTGCTGGAAACAGTTCTCAAGCATGAATACAACAAGTTCACGAAACAGAGCGAGTTAACTCAAAAAGCACTCCTGGTGAGCACTTTGGACATAATGATATAACGCCTGCAACGAGTAAATGGTATTACTGGTTGCGAACAGAAGAACGTAGGCGAGTTGATGTCGCTTCGCAACGTCATTGTTCTCAAAGTAGATGTCAACATTGTAAATGGGTGACAAACTCTTTACGAGCCTAGCAGTTGTAATGAGTGGCTACATTCTTCTGCAACGTACTGCAGAATGCCAGACTACAAAAAATGACTCGTTGCAATTTTTTCATGAAAAAAAAGTAGGCAAAGCAAAAATTCCTAACAGTAAAAGTTCTCATCGTGCCGATAGTATTACAACAACATGCTAATCAAACTAACCTCATCACTAAACAGATCAATTAGTATTGCACGTTTGGCTGGCTTTGCTTCGGTATCGGCATTTCACGCGAATCCGTCGGGGATTGGATTCTGACAAGAAAATGTCTCTCCTGGAACAGGGTTAAGAGAAGTTTTACTTCATAAACCCGCTTAAAGCCACAGCGTCTGACGCCTGTATTGTTTTTTGAATCTACTGGATTTCCTCCCTACTTTGCCTCTCCGTCTTTCATATCATGTAAAGCACTTCATGTGAATAGAAAAGTATGACGAGGGCGTCAACACAGCGCAGGTCAAGCCGGCTGTGCTACATTTTTGTGGCAAAAGTGCGTAGAGCAAAGGTGGGCTGATTTATTTCTCTTTGCCTTTTACAAGCGGTTGCGTTCGCTTCAGCTCGATGACCCGCTCGCAAAAGTAGTTTCCAACAAGGCGCGACAGGATAGGTATAACGTGGTAGGGATAAGGGCATTTCCTGTTGCTGAAAGGGGGGGGGGAGGTGGAGAAGAGGGTTTTTCGAAATACGACCTCCCGAATATCCCCCTCTCATACAACCCCTCCTCCTTCCCCATGCTGCCTAACATCTTCCTCTGCCTAAAAATTCCCAGCTTTCTGCTTTTCCTGTCCACTTGTCCAGTTTTGCTGCGAGATTTTGGATCCGGGCGGGGGATGGGGGAGAGAAGGCGAAGAAAGTGGCCACGGAACAACTACCTAAAGTAGTAAATGTATAATGTAATGTAGCAAAACTTCCTGAGAGCGCTGTTTTGGAGGTTTTCGGTTGTTTCTCCAGCTTTTTCCTTTATGGACATCCGGCACCTCTGGACCCATTTTCCAGTATGAGGAGCCTCACTTTTGTGAAATGTGGCATTACTGAATGGTTCAGTCGTCCAGACTAGAAAATTAGGCACCAGGGTCAACTGGAAGATTTTGAACCAAACATGTCTAGACTACTAGCCATTTAGGAGAGTCAGGTAGCTCATTATGTTACCGCTGTGCCGAAAACTGGTATTGACCGTTCTGTCAAGTGTTTTTCGTAACTGTCTAATGGACACCATTCGTCATGGTGTTTACTATGAGAACAAAAATAGTAAAATAAGATGTAATAGTAAGGGGAGAAATCCTGATGAGCGAGTCTTTCAAAGCAGTCCTTCTGCATTACTCCAATGGCTCATTCTCTGTCGATTAATGACGAAGATGCTCATTCTTTATCGATTTATGTTGAAGATGTTGATGAGGTGCAGTGAAAGTCATTGATTTTGTTTCTTAAACCTTTGCATATAGAAGTTTCAAGCCAGAAGTAATACGAAGAAAATTTCAAAGGGTTTAGAACTTCTGTCATCAGAAACTGGTCGCATCTCATGGATCCACCTCTGTATCCCTCATTAACATTCCTCAAATTGAGACCTGTGCTTTTTAGCTGACAAGCTCCTAATTTTTCCCTCGATCAGTGAAAAGCAACTGCAAATATCACTAAAACGGCAATTTGTTATATAGCGTAATTCGAGTAATTATACAGTCGTCATCCGGGCACTTGATTAGGCGGCCAAGGGTCGCGACGCGGCTGCGGCGTGTCACGAGCGCGGCGATCAGCTGTTTCTAGCCTATTTTAACCACTTTCTCCCTTACACTGTTTTGGCTGCTTTTCTCACGATTAGTTGTTTCTTGTATTCACAAGTTATATTATGATTGAGATTTCCTCTGATTTTGCGTGCAATTAAACAGCTAAGCAGACAATTGAACAAATACCTGGAAAAAATCGCAAAAAGACTGTTGCAACAAAAAAGGAACACTCCACGTCCTACTGTATCTCATAAGACCAATTAAAGCAGCTTTACCTTGCCAAAAAGGAAATACAGTTAAAATTAGTGCGTAGAAATTGGCCTTGGCATGTTTCCTTCTGGCTTCCTTTGTTGCGTAGTTTCGTTTCGCTCATCGTGTTCTATGAATGCTGAATACAGGGTAGCTAAAACGTATAAACACCTACAAAAATCCAGCTCTTTCGTAAGTGCGCATTTTTTTTCCAACGACGTTCCTATGCATATACTGCAGTAGACTCAATGTAACAAATTTTGCTAGAAACGTCCCAATTATTCTCTGCCTGTCTGCGATACACTCCGTCAAACGCAAAGGCCGACTGAATCGAGGGGTGCGCCCAGGGTGGTTCGGATTTGAAATCAGTCCAGGCCGTTCGATTTCTGCATTCCCGGTTTCTCTTCTTGCTAACTTCTCATAGTCAGGAAATCGAAAGATTAAGGCCGCGGGCTGTGGTGAGCACAGTCTTTTACCATGAAGGACCGGACATTGCAACCAAAGAACATCATCACCGACATTCCCTCTCGAGCATGATTCCATTAACTTCAAAAGATTGTCGAGGGTTGTTCTTTTAGCAGTTAACCTCAACTCTTTTCAGAGCCTTTTCTTGAATATTGGTTTTTCATTCTTGGATCGGTAATAATGAGAGGCTCATAATCTGTAGTAGGTTTTCGGTTCCAAACAATGAAACATTTGGAAACCATTTTCGCGGTAGCTAGCTTTCTTTTCCTAGATTTCCCTAATGAGGGAAGTCTGCCAACTTACCATGTAACTTCGAATAGAGACCTGGGGATCGATTAGAGTCGATAAGCGTTATCACCTATTTACAAATATGGGTAGCAAAACTGCCAACGTTGCTATTTCACATGCATTGTATTGAGCAGCGTAAAGTTTGTCAATGGTGCAATATGGGGTGGGAGGCCTTGGGGTTAAGTCTGTGAAGATAAGCTGAGGGATCGCCATACGCCCGAAATCGAGTCGTGGTGTTCAGGCGGTAAGCGTTCGGCATGACTGATCGACGTATATGATTCCTCGCACTTTGCTTCACAAGTCCTCACAACAAGCCTCCAAACGCTACTGCACCATTTACAATAACCCTTACTGCCTCATTAAATGCTTGTCGAAATGCAGGTTGCCAGTCTTGGCTGTCATATACTTCTGTATTTTACTAACTCTATCGACTTACCCGTGTCTCCATTCAAAATCTCCCATGTAAGTTGGCGGACACCCTGGTAAGTAGCCTGTCACCGTCAGTTGACTACGTTCGAGCTGCATTCAGTTGTGAAAACTTTGATCACATCTCCTCCACGCGCAACCGACGAGTCTTAATTATATTTCGTAGGCCTCTTTTCCACGGCCCCTTCGGACAAGATGTAGTCTTTTTACATCCGATCACTACAAAACCTTTAGCACCCGATCACGATATTTTGGATGTTCCCGCGACCAACTCGCAAACTCTCCACTGTCAACTCCAAGGCCAGGTCGTCATTTCTGGCAGATCTCTATTTAAAGTGAATGAGACTTCAATGCATTGACCGGTCGTAGTTGGCTAAGTTCTCTCTTTGCCAATATTGCCTTCAGTTTTTCAGTGATGTCAATATTGCCTTCAGTTTTTCAGTGGCCGGCTATGTTCTGCTAAGTTTAAAGTGAAGTTTTCAGTTTGTAGTGACGGGCGTCCCCTTTTGGAGCTGCGCAAGTTTCGTAGTCGCTTTCACGGTCACGCAAAAACAAGAAACTAAATAATTAAAATGTTATTAGAAAATGCACAAAAAATGCTACAAAACTATACCCATGATGCTGTTTAGCCTGAATGCGGGAAAAAACATGGGGAAGATCACACTGGGACTTTCAGCTCACACGTATAGTAAACAGGTGTTTGAAAATAATTAGAAGATTAGAGTCGAAAAAGGATAAAAAAACCGTTGATATGTTGACGTTTTCCGCGCGCGTAGTCGCATGCATCTGCCCTGCGTTTTATAAACCGAAAAATTTCTACTTTTTTCTATACCCAGGGCGAGCATTGCGGACTAAGGCTCTGCGCGGAAGCACTCGGGTCTGACCATAACTCTGTGGAGCGCGCCATACATCCGTTTGAAGGCACAGTCCACGCTGATCGTTCGTGTGAAGTCAGATCTACCACTTTCGCCTTCTTCATTGATGCGCTCCCCTATTTGCATACGCCATGAACAAGGAACATTTCTTTGAGAAGGGCGCAATGGAAGGCTTGCCCCCTCTCGTACCACCAGCAAGGATTCTGCTTTTACCACACAAAACATGTTGTAGAGATCGTAACGAGATATGGATAGATGGCACTCTGACAAAGATGGTTCTGCTTCTGTTGCTGCCAAAATAATTCTGGAAGGTAATGACTATGAAAACGCGTATCTG